AGATCATTATTCTTTGTTCGCCTTCATCTGGTTCGAGGAAATGCAACTATTGTTCGTCAGACTCAAAGGAGGACGTAGTGTGACACTGAAAATCCACAGATGGATGAGCTTGGGTAGATGGTTGGGTCAACAAAACACTAGATTTTACACGGGAGACAGCCGTTTGTGTCCTGCCATTGAGTGTAACTATAACTACAAAGGTTAACTAATTACCCAAACTATGATCTTTTTCTTACCCTAAACAAGCTGTTTTGAAGCTGGCGGGCACTGTGATTACATCGTTGTTGTTCGTAAAGTAGATGTAGTTTTCAACAGTCAATTGGTTTGAGAATTCACCCACAAACGATATTATCCTGAGACACACCATATTGAAATGTACAGTCGTGACTCGATAATCCGACACTAAATTTAAAACCTTCTTTTATGTCGGAAAGCAAGGCTGTTGGATTGTCAAGACGGAGGTCGAGATGCAAGGAGGGCTTGATGGTTGAAGGGTAATTTATTGTTAATATTTATTGTTTATAGTTGTTATAATAACGAGTGTATTGTTAGAACACTACGCATCGCTGGATTTCACGTCGAATTGACCAGTCACTTCCACCCCAGGGGTGCGCTCCGACGGGGTGGAAATGGCCGGAACGCACATGCCAGTTTAGAATTGTGATCACAGTTCTGTTTCCACCATCGGTGGCTGCAGGGTAATGGCGGATACGCTCCACCGTTACCATCCGTGTTTAGTTCCGTAAACACTGAGCAAGCTCGCTGCGTGTGACATTGTTGTGTCTTCTTCTGCGCATGCGGGACACAATTGGGTCATATGAAGTTCACACAACAGATCGCATACAAGTCACATTAAATTAGAAATGTGAACAAACTGTCAAAAAATCTGATTTCACAAAAAAATCAGAATTGAGCATCAAGTCCTGCCATCTGAATGTAGCCAATCTGTCGGATTGTTAAGTCAGATAATACGCCGTTATCCTCATTTGTGACATAAAATGTCACATCGGGTCGGAATCCAAGGCTGTCCATATGTTAAGGCTATTTTCAATGGGTTCCATTCATTTTTCCTAAAAACTGTCGTATAGCAAGGTTTTCGGATTGTCAAGGGTCGGATTACCCAATCACGACTGTATTTTCGTGTGTTGTTCTGGCGGGCATTGCCAAACACATTTTGTCTTTCAGTTTGAAGGACAAAAAATTCCATTCCCAGTTATAATGTTCCCCAGAACTTAATTCTGATTTTTTTTTTGGTACTTCTCTAATATCTTGCTAGTATTTCCTTCCTTCTTGTTCCCCATTTTCAAGCTTTTTTTTCACCTATGTTGCCTTACAAAGGGAGCCAAGCTGGAAACACCATTCCGTCTAAATGCATCTGCTGGTACAAATGAGCCCATTAACAATATTTTTCATCTGTTACCCTCCTTTTTTCTACTACCCTATTCCTGTTCCAGCTTCCCTTCGTCTTGCTGCTGCTCAGTGTTTGGTCCGGTCAGAGGGGAGCTACAGAGGGAGGCGGGGGCTGGATGGAGGGGAAGAATGTGGCCATTGTGCTCTCCAGGTATGTGTGTGTTTGTGACAAACAGAAAGAAAAGGGAGAGAGAGGAGAGCGAGGCTGATCAGATCTTGTTACAGGTGTTTCATAAACAACACAATAGTGCTAACAGGTTCCCTTCTCCGCTCTCTCTCTACTGCATTAGTCTGCAGCTTTACATTTCTGCTTCACTGTTGGTGGATTAGGCTTACAGCTTTGTCACATACACACTAGACTGAATCTGTGCTTCCCCATCATGAGCATGAGATGATCATGTGACAGTCATGTGACATGACCATATAGTACGTGTGTGTTTGTGTGTGTGCCTAATTCATGCAGTTGAAGCTGTTTCTCTTCCTTACGCTTGAGGTTTGCTGAATAATAGTTTCCTATCAGCCTTCTGCTTTTAAAAATACAAAGGCGATATTTTATTTTTCTTCCTGCTACCTTTTCTTTCAAGAATCTGTCCTGTTTTCTTGAAACTAGAGACACTGAAAACATGACACCACTAAGGTCGCACTGGAAAAAACAAAGTCTAGATGTAAAATCATATCTTAGATGACTGTCTGCTCCTTTTGCTGCAGTGGAATGTGATACAGTGAGTCGAGAGATAAGTATCATTTTGAAAAATGGTTCACTGCTTGAACATACTTTCACAATCAGTAATGGAGCCACAGCTACTGATGGAGCGACACATAGACAGACTTGAAGGCCCATTTGAATAACAAGTAGCTATGTAACTTGTATCTATTTTCGGTTTTGCATGAGGCAGTGCGAAGAAGTCATGTGTCATCGCTTCATCAGGTCCAACCAGCACGTCAGCACGCACACACCCCTTTCACACACCTTAGCTGCCAAAGTATTTATTCTGTCAGTGACAGCAACTCTGTATCAACACTTTTTCACTTCACACACTGGTGCTCTGACATCTACCTCCGCCTGAATGTGGATAAAACAAAAGAGCACATCTCACGTCGGACTGCACCACACCTCCATCCGTGTACAGCCAGTCGAGCAGGTCAGCAGTTTCAAATATCTTGGAGTCATCTTAGACAATAAACTAAGTTTCAATGAACACATCGCGGCCGTCCAAAAACATTCAAGTCAAAGACACTCAACCTCACAGCTTTGTCTGTTGCCTCAAACCTTCTGTGCTTCTTCTGTGGCTTTATAAAAGCACAACTCAATCCATCCTGTTGTCCAATTCCCCATTTTGTTTTTTTTCCACAATGGCGTCTATCTTTAACAAAAACAGACTCACCAAGATTACACACACTTCCTTCAAAATCATTATCCTTCTCACTTTGAGCTTGTCAAATATGAACAACAGAGTCACTGTAAGTCTTGCAAAAAGAAATAGTGAATGACAGTGATCACCCCCAGACTCCACTTTTCACACTACTATACTGTTAGATTGCAGGCAAAGAACTTTAAAGATGGAAAAGTGCTTCCTTTTGCAGAGTTTCTGTTGCAGCTCTACAAGCAAACAATCAGTAGCACTGATCATTTGTATTTGTGTGCACAGATTGCATAGAAGTAATGCTGTGTCATGGTAATATGTGTGTTTTGTGCAGACAGACTTGTGAAAACAAATCTCTGTCTGGTACATATAAATGTTTTTCAGTGCAGTCTCTCACCAAAATGTGTAACAGCGATGTTGGTCCACAGCACAAAGCATATTAGTTTCACAATAAAGACCAAAATTGTGAAATGCCTTCATTTTTTTTCCCATATTCTTTTGTATAGGCCTGCCTTCATGCCATATGACTCACAAGTTACTTTCGTTTGCACAAAAAAGAGAAACAAAGTCTGCAATAGCAGGTTAGAGGAACACTGGTGGCAGCAACCACTGGACTTTCACCTGGACTATTCCTTTTTTTTGTATTACTGTTAAACTGTGCTGCGTTTTTGCTTTCTGTTTTCCGTCATTTACAGGCACAGTTTGCTTTGATTTACGCTACAAAACTATTTGGTTGATTTTAGGGAAAGGTCATGGTTTGAGTTAAAATACACCTGTACAACTGCTGACCACAAAGCTGCCATTATTATCTACCTGCCACAACAATGACCCCAACAATGTAGACATCTCACAAATTTACAGGCTGTTATTGTGAAAATAATGTGTTTTCCACTGTGGGTCCATGTAGGTGTTACACATTTTGGTGTGAGACTTGACTAAGTGTTTACAATGTTGTCTTCTGTTTAGCCGGAGGACAGTCACAGCCACACATGATGTTGTTTCCATCACTTCAGAGGGCATTACATTCATTTACATTCATCTCCTGAAGACTCACCCTGAACCTGACCACTACTTGACTAAGCCTAAACCAACCTAACCTTGAACCAAATCTTCTCCTTCACATTTAATGATTTAGTAAAGTAAGCTTGGTCCCCACAATGTGACTGTATCAAAAGGTTCTTGTCTTAAACATGAGAATTCCGAATACATTCACGTTCAAAGAGGAATGTTTTGCAGATCTCAGACTGTCCAACTGACTGTCTTTGATATCTACATGTGATTGTCAGGAAACAGAAAGTTCCAGTTCCAGTTCCAGTTGCTGAAACGTGTCACTGAAATTCCAGCACAACCAGCCTATCAGAACACTCCACTTCATGATGTTCATATTCTGTTTCCATTGTGGTTTCAAACTCACACCTTATTTTGTAAGTTTTGTGAATTGTGTATGATTGGAAGAAAATGGCACTTTTTTTCTTTTTTTTTTTAACCATAAATACCGTACTTTTTAAAGCTTTAACTACAAATTTAAGCTCTAATCACAGAAGAGCACCCATCACAATTTAACCCTTAATGTTCATCAGATGAATATTTTGAAAACATTTGAAATCGGCAACATACAGCTGGAGAAATTAGATTTTTGTGTTTAATCGTAGAATCAGCAAGTCATCAGCTCTCAAATCAATCATTTGACTGTCAACTATCGCACACTGACACGCACACACACACACAGAGCGCTCACACGTATACACTCGTGGAACTAAATCTCGTTTGTACAACAACAGGACACTCAAGGCTAGCTGGCGCCCTGCTCGACCAGTTTCTGAAACACACACACACAAGATGACTAGACAAGACACCCACACACACACACACACACACACACACATCACCACACAAATAAACATCCAGTCCTCGTCCCGTAACCTTGCAGTGAAGGTTACAGCAGTCAGCTGGGTCAGTCTGAACACTGGACCAGCTGAAGAAATGTCCTTCCAGATACCTACTGTGTGTGTGTGTGTGTATGTGTGTGTGTGTGTGTGTGTGTGTGTGTGTGTGTGTGGGTGTGTGTGTGTGTGTGTGTGTGCGCGCCCTCAAACCTCCAGGTGAGAAAACACACCACGTCCCTCAACTACCCTTACAGCAATAACTGTTAAATGTTGAGACTGAAACAAGAGACAGGCAGAATGGAAAGAGAAAGAGGAGACACATGATGAGTTCCCAGCAAACCTGTGGGACGATGAGACGTGGAGTCACCGTGTCGCTGCTGTCGGTTCTTCTGCCACCATTCAAAAGCAAAGATCCAGCTCGTCACTTTCTCATCTTCCCTTCCTGATCCTCTCCTCCTTCACGCTGCCTGTCAGGTAGGTTCTTCTCTCTGGCCACTTGTTCGCTGTCAAGTCGCCTCCTGTCTTCAATGACAGGTTCCCCCCCAAACCAACCAAAGCACAATCAGAAGAGATCTGACACTTGTAACACACACACACACACACACACACAGACACACACACACACTGGGAGAGGACAAGTCAGAGTTTCTCTTCTCCTTTTGGTGTTTTTTTTTTTTTTTTTTCTGACTCAGATCCTCTGTTTTGTCCTCTCCTCCGCTCTCAGTCACGACAGCACTTGTAGACGTAACAGCAGGAGACGGGAGAAGAGGGGAGGGAGCGCACAAGGTCTCGAAGTGGAGGAGAGTGCAGGAGGTGACGGAGTTGAAGGAAAGAGGCTGGAGAGGGAGGGAGGGAGAAAGGGAGGGATGGAGGGAGGAAGGGCAGCGGTAATTAGTGAGTCTGTACCTGACTCTCACTGACATAAGCCCCACATTCCTCAGAACCCAGAAGAGAGGGAGGGCGAGAGACGAAGAAGGGGGGGAGAGGGAAAAGAAAAGAAAAAGTTGTAACACCCTAATCATCCCAGGAAACACATCAGAGAACACCCCGACAGAGACAAAAAAATCTGTCCTCCTTACAGCACACCATAGCTGACGCGGCGGTCGAGGTACAAGGCCGTATGATGTTGAGCGTTAAGGTGCTGCTGCTGCTGCTTCACTGTGCTCCAAACTCCCCTCTTCCGTCAGAAAAATCTCCCTCCGTCTGTCTCTTTCTCTGTCTAGATCTGTGTATGGTGTACACACAACTGGCTGCTCCTAAAACTCACCAAACCAGAATCTGACTGCCCAAACCCCCAACACACCTCCTCCCTGCCTCCCTCCCTCCCTCCCTCCCTGCTATCATTCCGGATGGGAAATGCTATCCTCTTGTGGCCCTGTCCAATCTATGTGTGTGTGTGTAAAAAAAAAACAAAAAAAACAGCCAGACTTGAATCGTAGCAGCCAGAGCAGCATTCCTCTAAAGGAGTTTCCTGCACACCTAGTCCAGGAACCTCACCTCCCCACCACCACCCACGTGATCAGCCATATCCACCGCTTGCTTATTACCGATGATCGCGCTCAGACCGAACCTTTTACTCATTCACAAATACATGCGCCCCTGAGGTCATGATGACACGCTGTCTTTATGCTCCACCGTTCGCCCCTTCTGACGTAGGTGCTGCCTCTGTAATGACACCTCTCAGTAATAACAACTCGCTTGGTCGCTCTCAGAGTTCTTGTGTTTCACTGTCGGCCTGACGGATGACACGGACGTGACTGACAGCTGAGAGGGAAGCTTTAATAAGACAAACAGGTTCCCTCTTCTGTTAAAGATGAACTGAAAGCAAAACTGTCAAAGTATCCTCAGTCTCTGTCTTTACGGAGCACCTCTTTCCCCACTCAATCCCTTTTACTCTCTTTCATTTCAGGACAAATATCCGACTTGTTTCATCACGTAGTCGCTCGGTCCGGACCTCCAGCATTCACCTCTAATTCAACATTGTGTAAAGTGTGTGTCTGTGTGTTTGCTTACTTGAATTCCTTCGAGAGTTCGGCGTGGGCAGGACCGAGCACTTCCTTCTTCCTGATCTCAGGTGAGCACGATGTCTTTGTGACAACCAGTTGTCATGGAGACAAAGAATAGGAATGAACGACAGAAAGAGAGAGAGCGAGAGAGAGAGCGAGCGAGAGAGAGAGAGAGAGAGAGAGAGACTGTGCTGAAGTGAGCAGCAACAGCCGCGGTCAGCCAACTGAGCACAGAAGAGAGAAGTGAGGAAGCTGGATTTCTGTTTAGAGTAACAACACACACACACACACACTCTTAACACACATGCATACATTCAGATAAAGACTCTACACACACACACTCACACACAGTAGGGAACTTGCAAGAGTGTGTGTGTATAGGAAACTGAGATTGAGTCAGACGTGCTCACACAGAGAAATAACGTTTCAACACAGCGGCTGAACTCTGGCAGGGAGGAGGCCGAGCCGTTGGATGTGTTGCTCAATACGTTTGACTTTAATGCTTACTTAACAGATCTAGCAGGCCCCAAATAAACACCGCAGATACAGAAGCACGAACAACGTTAAGTTGAGTTTCTGTAACTGCGATGTTGCAGGTGGGCAGCGGACATCTCAGCTGATGTTAAGTAGTTCATGGAAAAAGCTCCACTGATGACTTTTCCGACTTTGCCATCATCCCAAGTGGGAACAGTGAAGTAGCGTTACACTCTGAGAAATGTTAGTATATTAACAGTTGTGTGACTGTATGTTTAACCCTATTCGGGACTGTTGGGGTCTTTTGCACCCCAGGCCATTTGGTTTAAGTGGCAGGTATTGTTTTTGTTTTTGTTTTTTTTAAAGATTTTAGTTAAATATTAAAAGAGGGACATCTGTCATGCATTTGGAACCAAAAATACATCAACTTATCAGAAAATGTATTTAACATTGTATAAAAGTCTACAATAAATACCATCAGATTTTTTGCACATATTCTTTCTTGGGGTCGAATGGACCCTGAAAGACTTTTTACGTATGGCAACATGAAAGTCCTGAACAGGGTTAAACAGAAGTTCTCCACAGTACATGATTAACAAGTGAATTTCCAATTAAAGTTTTGTTTTTTTGGGGGGGGTCTTTTTGCAATGGTTGTTATGTCTTGGTTTGCATTTCTTCAAAAAGAGAAAATATGTGAATTAGCACACGTAAAAACAATTTCAGTATATTAAAAAGAAACATTTCCCTTTTATTCTCATTCAGGTTTTTTTTATTAAGATTTTTTTAAAAGAGTTTTCGTGAATGATACACAAGTTATTTTTTTTATCATTGAAGATTTGTCAGTTTTTTGTGTTGTGTTGTTTTGTTTTGCAAGGCTTATTAGCACTGTGGGTACATCAATAACTAACAGGACTGCTAAATTTTAGTTGCTGTAGATATAGTATTGACAAAAATGGTTATTTTATTATTTACAATAATTGTACCATATATCTGAATTAATGTCATATTTGCACTTTTTATATCATAGACATACCATTTATTAACAAAGTGTCTTGTATTTTCACTAAAGATGCTCCATTAAATAATAGGAAATTTCCATTTGTTTTTAAATTATATATATACCAATAAATAGCAGTATTTTTTTGTGTGTGTGTTGTTATTATTTAGAAAATATAATAAAATCACTATTGATATGTATCACAAAACATGGTCAGTTTTCACTACAAATGCACTATTAAAAATTACTATTATTTTTTACTATAGAGTCACTATTAATATACAGAATCAGCACTTTTTCAGTTATTTTGCAGACCTATTTCAGATTAAACCTACCCAAGGTAGGTTTACATTGAGGTAGATATACACACATGGACAAAATTGTTGGTACCCCTTGGTTAATGAAAGAAAAACCCACAACGATCACAGAAATAACTTGAATCTGACAAAAATAATAATAAATAAAAAAAATCAATGAAAATTAAGCAATGAAAACCAGACATTGCTTTTGAATCGTGGTTTAACAGAATTATTTTTAAAAAAATAAACTCATGAAACAGGCCTGGACAAAAATGATGGTACCCCTAGAAAAGACTGAAAATAATGTGACCATAGGGACATGTTCAATCAAGGTGTGTCCTCTAATTAGCATCACAGGTGTCTACAAACTTGTAATCAGTCAGTCGGCCTATTTTTAGGGTTACAAGTAGTCACTGTGCTGTTTGGTGACATGGTGTGTACCACACTAAACAGGGACCAGAGGAAGCAAAGGAGAGAGTTGTCTCAGGAGAGTTGAAAGAAAATTATAGACAAGCATGTTAAAGGTTAAGGCTATAAGACCATCTCCAAGCAGCTTGATGTTCTTGTGACAACAGTTGCACATATTATTCAGAAATTTAAGATCCATGGGACTGTAGCCAACCTCCTTGGATGTGGCCGCAGGAGGAAAACTGACGACAAATTGAAGATATGAATGGTAACAAAAGAGCCAGGAACAACCTTTAAAGACATTAAAGGTGAACTCCAAGGTCAAGGTACATCAGTGTCAGATCGCACCATCCATCGTTGTTTGAGCCAAAGTGGACTTCATGGGAGACGACCAATGAGGACCCCACTGTTGAAAACAAATCATAAAAAAGCCAGACTGGAATTTGCCAAACTGTATGTTGACAAGCCACAAAGCTTCTGGGAGAATGTCCTATGGATAGACGAGACGAAACTGGAACATTTGGCGAGACACATCAGCTCTATGTTCACAGACACAAAAATGAAGCATATCAAGAAAAGAACACTGTCCCTACTGTGAAACGTGGAGGAGGCTCTGTTATGTTCTGGGGCTGCTTTGCTGCATCTGGCACAGGTATCTGTGCAGATACAATGAAATCTCAAGACTATCAAGGTATTCTAGAGAGAAATGTGCTGCCCAGTGTCAGAAAGCTTGGTCTCAGTCGCAGGTCATGGGTCTTGCAACAGGATAATGACCCAAAACACACAGCTAAAAACACCCAAGAATGGCTAAGAGGAAAACAGTGGACTATTCTTAAGTGACCTTCTAAGAGCCCTGATTTAAAGCCTATTGAACATCTGTGGAAGGAGTGGGCCAGAATACCTGCTGAGAGGTGTAGAAGTCTTATTGACAGTTACAGAAATCATTTGATTGCAGTGATTGCCTGAAAAGGTTGTGCAACAAAATATTAAGTTAAGGGTACCATCTTTTCTGTCCAGGCCTGTTTCATGAGTTTATTTTTTTTAATAATTCTGTTAAACCACGGTTCAAAAGCAATGTCTGATTTTCATTGGTTAATTTTCACAGAATTTTTATTTATTATTACTTTTGTCAGATTCAAGTTATTTCTGTGACTGTTGTGAGTTTTTCGTTCATTCACCAAGGGGTACCAACAATTTTGTCCACGTGTGTAGCTGTGTGTGTGTAGCCCTTTTAACATATATGCCTAAAGTTCAAAAAACATAAAATAACTTTGAAGTCTTTCCAGTCAATAACCACCTGAAGGGTGGCTGTGGCTCAGGTGATAGAGTGGGTTGTCCTCCAATCGCAAGACTGGCGGTTCAGTCGCCCGCCCCTCCACAGTGGAAATGTCCTTGGGCAAGACACTGAACCCGAAGTTGCTCCCAATGGCAGGCAGCACCTTGCATGGCAGCTCTGTCGCCATTGGTGTATGAATGTGTGAATGAGAAACACATTGTAAAGCGCTTTGGGATAAAAGCGTTATATAAGTGCAGACCATTTACCATTTACCATATGAAGCGTTCCAACCTTTCCTTGTTGGGTGTAAGAAGAGTATCGCCTGGTTTTTAGGCTCTCTACTTTTAGTCTGGTCTTTAGCAAGTGAACTGTGATCAGGTGACTGACTCTGCTAGTCGAGGATATTTTATCGTCTTTAACTTGAGATCTCTTTAGTAACTTTGGCTGTATGTTTGGGATCATCATCCTACTGAATAATGAAATGTCCCATGAGCTTTGAAGCATTTGGCTGAATGTTAGCACACAGAACACTCCTGCTTCTGTCAGCAGTGAAATCTTCAATAAATGTCAGTGTGCAACGTTCATCGTCCAGTCATTACAGAACCACCGCCATGATGGACAGATGCTGTATCCTCTGGATCGTGAAGTGGTTCTTTGTTTTGATGAAGGGTTGATTTGTGTCTTTCACATTGTTCCACAACTCCACCTGTTTCTTGGTGCTGGTTTTTCAAAACTACATTCTATCTTTCTGTTTATGAGGTTTACCTGAGGTTTGTATTGCGCCTTTGAGGTTTTGGTCATGAAAGAGGTAAGCCAACGACTCAGATACCCCTTTTTCACCAAACCGGCTCCAGTGCTAGTTCTGTGCTAGTGCCTGACGTAGCACCAGTTCTTTGTGTTTCGACCACCTAAGCACCAGCGCCAGGCTCTCAAAACTGGTGCTCAGCAAGCACCAACTCTTTGCTGGGCCAGAGCTAAGCACCAAGTATGTCAGGGGCTGGGGGCGGGGTTATCGTGACCACAGAGACCGATGAATGAATGGGACACCCAAGCAGTGATTTGTGTCGTTTTTCACCAGGATGTCCCTGGTCCGATTACAGATGTTTTGTAATGAGTCCTGGGACACACGGAGGTTTCACACAAAATGTTGCGTCCTGAAATCCTGTAAAAATGTGTCCCACCAGCAGCACCACAGTGGTGGAAAACAATACTTTTATAACTTCGGTGTACTGCGGTTTATGCTGCGGTCCTCTCATGAACAACAGTGCGCACCTACATGTGCTTTTTATTCCACTCATAGAAAAGACCACATGAGAAAAAAAAATCACTGTTTCATCGTGGACAAATCTGACATTAGAATGCCCTAGTTTACTCTTGTTAAAGTCATTTTTGGTTGCCACCGGTCTGAGCACCGCGGCCACCACCAGCAGCTACCATAGCCTGCAATGTGGGGCGTTCAGGGAACATTGTAAATTGTAGCGTCTATCGATAAGAAAATGTTCAGCAACTCATATGTTTTGCCCGTGACAATGTGAGAAGTGGGAACAAATGAGAAAGTTGGTCACACCGGTAAAAATGTTAGTCTGGAGTCCTGTGTGGACGTTGTTCGGTAAACGGCTACGTATGCCGTGACGTATGCGTGGCTCTAACTGATGGAAAAGCAACCAGTTCTTAGATTGGAACCAACTAAGCACGGCACTTGCACCTGGTGTTTCTTGGTGGAAAAGGGGTAAGAGAGAGTTCTTGACATGCCATGCAGTCATAAAGATATTGTTTGTCATCCAACGAGTCATTTTCAGGTCATCCAAGAGTCTTGAGCTTTTCAGTCAACAATGTGGTTTGATATTTTCTAAGGT